TTTGTATTTTACATTAATATCAATAGATATGTTTACCAGAATTTTTGTGGATTTTTTCTGCTATCCGAAACATGATTATCCAAGGTGGTCGTATAATTTACGGACGCTTGAAAAACGACTACTTTTAATTAAATTTAATTTTCTGAGGGATGGTTGGGAATATTTAAATGAAATTTTGCCTAGGAATTCTGAATACATAAATGATTAATATAAAAAAGAAATGAAACAAAAATGTCATGTTAAAGATAAGATATGACAAAAAATACAAGTGGTCGTATAATTTACGGACGCACTGTATTAGCCGACAATGTCGGCTCCCAAAAAATTATAATATACCTATTCTTATTTTTCATGCGCGTTTACTAATTTTAGTTTACTATTTTAAATCCAAGTTTATTAATAAAATTAATATCTTGTAATATATTCCGATTTTCTAAATTTTTTATTTTTCAGTCTTTATGGCACGAGACAACCCGAGATATTAAATTTCCTCAAAATAATTCGAATTTATCAGGAATGTTGGCAGATAATAAAAATTTTAGTTCAAAAACGTTGGATTTACCCTCTCCGCCTGCTGTTGGAGGAGGATGGCATAGCGAGTAAGTCAGAAGATTTTTTTCTCGGGAGATGAACAAATGTGAAAAAATGTGAAACAGAACCACACTTACCTAACTAAAGATAAAATTTAGAAAGAATTATTTTGTGTTAATAATTTGATACATAAATTAATTGAATTTCGATGAATTTAAAACTGATAAGGATAAATGATATCTCATTTGAAAGTATATCTTGAGTAGTAGTATAGAATTTCAGAAAATAATATTTTGTGCCCCCCGTACCCCGTCCCAATGAACGACCATATTTTGCTCCACGAACCCCGCCCAGAAACTATTCGTTAACCCCGTACCCCGACATACCGGCCCACGAGCGTTCGGGGTCAAACCCTAGTAAAAACGCAGAATCCAAAATCCAACTCTGCTTGAAGAGCTTTTTCTAATGCCAATTAATCAAGAAGCTCAAAATGGTTAGGGACAGGAAAGGGTTTTTAAACCAAACTTTATCCTTAAATCAATAAAACTGGGACTTTTTCGGACTCACGATGCCAATACCAAAATATCCATTTGCCGAACACTAATAAAAACTTTTAACCTAAAAATCACGGCATAATCTTCTGTAATAAAAAGATTAAACAGATCCAAAGGATTAAGGATTTTAACGCATTTTATGGTATATCCGTAAATTTTGGTTTATTAAAATATTTCTATAATTTATAATTTATTGAAATTATTCTTTTTTTAGCATTTTTTTAAATTTGCCACATTTTAATATGCAGGAATTAAATTTTTAAAATTAAATTTTTTAATAAGTTTTGCTTCAAATATCCATCTAAAGCTGCATTTACGTCAAGTCAATTACAGCTAAATAAACGAAAAGCTCAATTATAGCTTTAAAAATATTTTTGACTTGAAAAGTTATCCAAAAAATCAAAGATCCAAAGATAATCCATCAAAAATTTTCAATTTGCTTGCGATATCTTATTTGACGTCTTTAGTCTGCGATTATTAATATATAAACGGAGTGTTTATCGAGGTAAATATTCAAATTCAATTTGAAAATTGAATTACTTTAAGACGTAAAATCATCTGCCAAAAATTAAAATTTATTAAAAAATGCCAAACAAAATTATTTTCCTTATTTCCACAATTTGTATTGTATCAACAATTTTATTTCAAATTGAAGCTCACACTGCGTTTGATCCATCGACAATCAAAAATCCCTGTGATCAGAGAGGCGATGTAAGTTTTTAGAATTAAAAAGTCATAAAATCAAAAATAATATTTTCAGCTAAAAAATTATCATTCTTCATGCACGACTCAGAAATGTAATTTATTATTTTAGAATAAAAAGACAAATTTTTTTGTACTCTACGACTTGACAACTATTAAGGAGTATAATGTGTAGGGAATACAAAATCCTAAAATTAGGTGACGGGATCGATAGATCTGCAAATTTTCGGGGTTTTAAGATTGCCTTAAATCCTCATTATTAGCTGTATATAAATGTAAAGCATATAGCTATTTAATTCCTAAGGCTGTGCAGTAGGCGAGCTCTTTGAAGTTTTCAAGTATAAAGGTACTTGAAATACATCAGTCCGGTCTACTGAAGATGCTGGTTCGCTCCCAGCCGCCGATTAACCTTTTGCACTAGCTAAAGGAGAGAAATAGCTATAGCCCAGCAAGATAGAGTAGAAAATGCCATATTTAGTTGGAAACCTTTGAGCATCATCATACAGTAGATCAAAGATAGATAGCTCTCTAATTTCAAATTTAATCTCATTTCGTTAAATTCAGTAATTTTAATTTATAGTGGATGCTATATTTTCATGTTGCCATTCCATTCTGACAAAAAATGGTCAAATAGATTGTCACTGTATTCAGGTATTGCCAAAAATTATATATAAACTTTCAAATTAATATATTATAATATATTATTCAATTAATATATTATATTTTAATCATTTTTAATTTTAATTATTATACACCTGATTTTGCAAAGAATGATTGCGAATCTACTGCTAGAACCATGTTTAAATGTACAGCTAAATTATCTTGAAGAATGAAATATACGGAGTATTTTAAAATTTAACGATAACTGATAAATATACAATGAATAATTTTTAAAGATAAATGATAAATAATGCAAATTATGTCTTATATTTGTTTTAACACACTAAATTTTGAGTAATTTCGTCTTAAGATAATTTTATATTTTGATTGGGCATTGCTTGGAGTTATTAAGGTATCATTCTTTGAATTCGTTCAGCCTTGTGCCGCGACTTTGTGGCAATGTTCTGCTTAAAAACATTCATTGGATCTCACTAAAGTTTACTGATAACGTTAAATTACCGGAATATAAACAAACTTAAGTGTACACTAAACAGATTTAAAATTATATTGTAACATTTTTATACTTTAAAGAAATAGAAAAAAATTTACATCTATGTATTTTTTTAAAAATATTTTATAAAATAAACTTTCAAATTAATATATAATAATATATTATTATAATAATATATTATTATTCTTTTTAATAAAATAAAAATTAAATCAGGTAAATCGGTTAAGAATTAAAAAATTAAAAATTAAATTATTAAAAATTATTAAAAATTAAAAAAACCAAACGGAAAAAAAGAATCTTATCTAAAACTGATATCAAGCTGATAAAAAATGATTTTTCATCCCCCAGTTGATCAATTTCAATGTTTATCACTTTGCTGGCTGATCACTCTCCCGGTTGATCACTCTCGATCACTCTACCGGATGATTGATTAACTGACAGAGTGATCAACATTGAAATTGATCAAATGGGAGTTGAAAAATCATTTTTTATCACTTTGATATCAGTTTTAGATAAGATTATTTTTTCCGTTTGGTGACCAAAATTCCTCTTGGTGACCAAAATTTCAGTGTCCAATATTCCGTTTTTTGACTTGGTGACCAAAATTCCGCTGGTGACCAAAATTCCAAAATGATTGGTGACCAAAGTTCCGAAAAAGCGTGGTGACCAAAATTCTGTACACCGACAAAATTCGAAAAAACTGGTTCAAAGTTACGAAAATTCCTGATCACCAAAATGCCAGTGACTAAAATCCCGCACGCCTTCTGACTTCTGTACATATGCCGTATTATTCGAATGAGATAATTTCTAATAATTATTTATCAAGTCGAGAAATGTCGGAGGCATTAGAGAAAAGCATTAAAACACAAGTTAAAATTTTAGAAGAAAATATATAAAAAATAAAAGTGCAATTTGCTAGCCATAATTCCACATAGACAAAAAGTGCAAATTTGAGCGGTAAAAGTATTATAAAGAGAGGTAAATTTTGTATTTTGCTTAGCGCCGATAAAATGGGCGGCATAAATGAAATTACAAAGGGTTTGATGTTTGATTTCCCAACTTCGAAAAATTAATTTAAATAAGGCTTGACGTCTGTCGGGATTGTCAATAATAATTATAGACATTTATAAATTAAACCTGTATAAAATATATTTTAAATCTAAATTTCCCATTATTTTAAGAATTCTAGCGTTGAGAGATCCTATATTGATCTCGTTTTCTCGTTATTGTTTTTAATTTTTGTTTATTCTTATAATTTGTATATCACTGTCTGGTCCAAAGATTTTCTTTTGGAAGCGCATAAGCGTAAATTACCGTCGTGCTGCAAGCGAGAATTATTCTTTTTAGCTTTTTCGACTAATAATTTTTTATTTTTCCTTTCAAACAATTTTTTAGCATACTCGATAGACGATTTTCTTCAAATAAATACATGCTGAAGCAATTTTCTTTACTTTTGCTGTTATCTCAATGCTTACAGGACGTTGATACAGGAAATTTGTTTTTATAAAAAATATGAAATTATTATTTCAATTCTAGATACAAAATTTCTAGATACAAAACATCATTAATAAAAATTTCATTTAAGCACCGGATATGCGAGAATCTCTTATGATATGCATCCCTTTTCATAACTGAGAGCTTATAGTAAACTGAACGCATATAGTCCTGCTTAATAAGTTTATCCTGTTTCGAAACAACACTAGTAAAATTCAGACAAATACAGAATTATCACATACACAGATACCTCAAAATAATGACCAAACGAATTTTAAAAACATACAACCTATATTAAATTGAGATTATGTAAGATCTATATCCAACAATAGATGGCACTGAGGTCCGATGATATTTTTCTGCAAAGAAAAATTCATTGAATTGGGGATTTAATGAATTTTGCACTAAAGCCTTTATGCATAAAGCCTCTATGCAACAAAAGTCTAATGTTATGTGCCGATTATATGTTTTTTTTGGAGTAAATTTGAGATAATTATTAGAATTTTGCCATAAAATTATAATTTAATAATTATTTAACTTGAGATTGCTGTGTTAAAGCTCCCGCGACATTTGAACATACAATTTTCGAAAATCCACCAACTCAATTATTAACTTACTCGTCAAGTGCGGATACAGAAGAAAAAGAAATTGAAAATCTTCGCTCCTCTAGAAGAGAAGAAAAGGAAAGAAAAGACAAAGAAATTTATGCCGCTGCCATGGAAGAATATAGAAGAAATAAACCTGATGAGTGGGTTCAAAATATAGTTCAAGAACTAGAAGGAGAAGAAGCAGGCCCTTCACAGCCAAAGAGAAAGACTAAAAAGGGTCAGTTGATTTATAGATTCGGATTATAAAAAAATAGGCTCTTGTCAGTTATTTTGGGGTAAAAGCTGGATTTGTGACCAATACTTTTCTGTGCTCAGGGCATATACCAGAACGAGAGGATATTGAATTTTATGTTAATCAAGTAATTTCGAGCATTTGATATTTTTCCGATGAAGTCAAAAAATGAATCATATAGGGTCCATATTATAATTTGAACCCATTAGCTAAATAATGCAGTGGACGAATTATCTGTACAAATTCTCATCTACCAGAAAAATATATATCAGTAAAATAGATTTTTTATCACAAATCGAAGTGTATCAATTAATCTTGCCATTGCTTAGGGATTTATTTCCTCAGCATATATGCAACAAAATTCAAAAAGATCAAATTCTTATTTTTTTATATTTAATTTAAAAAAATTTAAAGTGATGATACCAGAACAAGACGATATTGAGTTTTATGTTGATCAAGTGTTGGTGGCTATTAATAAACATTTGACATCGAAAGTAGGTTTTCTTATAAGTATGGCCATAATTTTTAAGTAAGGAACTTGAAAAAATATGTAAGAAACTGGAAAGCCAAAAATAAAAATATGCAAAAAAGTAGTAAACAAAAACACTATTTTTTGGCTCAAAATATTTTTACATAATATAAATAATTTAAAATTAAAAACATACAATACATTGCTTCCAATTTAATAATTTAGTATAATTTAAGGATGCTTACGACCTAGTTTTCAGTTCTAAAGTCATTCTTGTTGAAGTTGATAAAAGATTTTCTAATCGCGTCGTAGGTCGCGATAAATTTCTGAATGTTGTTTATAATAAAGGAAGATTTTTTTGTAATGATTGGTTGCTTAATAAGCTGAAGGAAGCAGATAATCTCGATCGTAGATCGTTTCAACTTCTTTATGATGAAGGTTCTATGAGATATGAAGGTTCTCACAGAACTATTCAACCTGCAACACGTGAACCAAACGTAACGGGCCATGACATTAAAACGGATAAAAGGAATGCAAGAATCTTTTGTCGTTTTGGTGCATATTTAGCAATGCTGAAAGTAATTACTGATAATGTTTTAGTTGAGCGTGAGGTATTTATTTTAAGAAAAAGTTTACCAGCTTTAAATTTTATTTATTTAGAATGAAATTAAATATATTATTGAACTTTGGAAAATAGGATTGGGTGAAATTTTGCCAATTCCGGAAAATAATTTAATCCATTCAGAGAAGGTAGTTAAGCATTAAACTTGTGTTTGAATCAAAGAAAATTTCTTATCAGGGATTTTTTTCATAATTATAGATGAATACATTTTTTGGCATATTCATAGTCGTGATAGTTTAGTCTTAAATTTAAAACTTTTAAGCCCATAATTGGAATTAGCTATGTCCTAGCTAGATTACTAATTTGAAAATATTCCCAATTATGTATTAGTTAGATTAATATCAAAGTTTTACTTAATTAAGCCTACTTATATGTAGAGTTCGGAATTTGAAAAAACCCAGATCCTGTTTCCTGATTTCTAAAATTTTTCATATCCTGACCAAAATTTCCCGAACAAACTCCCTAAAATCCGATTTTTTAGACCCGGATCTAAAATTATTGTCTTAAATACGCAGATACTACTTTCATTTAATTTCTAAATAGATTCGAGAACGCATACGTGATTTGAGCTTTATTACGTTGGAAACAGAGATGAGAGATATCATTACAACACGTCGAGGAGGTAAAAAATAGATTCAGTTGCTTGTAAAATTTTGGGGAATGTTAAAGCAGTTAATGAGGATAAGGGACAGTATTGCTCTTTTAGCTAGTATTTCTGGGACAGAATTTCTCCTTAGCGGCTGGAAACAAGCAGAGCTTCAGTTACAGGACTGATCTAGTTACGGACTGTTACCGGACTACATAGCTTTTGGAATTAAATTGCTATATGTTTTAGATTATTATTTAATTTTAATTTATAGTTCCAAAAGTAAGAAGAGGAAAGGGAAAAGGAAAAGGAACTTGAGCGGAAAAATTGTGGAATTACAACTTGAGAAGCATGTCTCTTGAAGCAAGCCCATTACATCACAGAACAAAATATTAGTTTAGAATTTTAGAATCCAATTTTTTGCTAGTCTGTGGTGTTAATATTTTCAAAACTGGGCAATCTTAGATTAGTTTTAAAGAATTGTGAAATATACAAAAGCTTGACACAGTTCAATAAAGCTTCGGACATCGGAATTGCGACTCACTTCTGGTTCTGGGCTCGTAACTTAACCCGTTCCTATCACACCTGCGTTAGGCGTGTCTGGCTTACTCCGCAGCAAAAACCTGCGGTTTTTGCTGCTGGAGACCATAGGCTTGTACAATCACGATGATTTTGATGTCATTCGACTCAGCTCGTCGAGCTCTTTCGAATGAGCTATGATTCGAGAAATTCGTCGGGTCTGCAAGTTTCGGTCCGCAAAAGTCGGTCCGCAAGTTTCGGCCTGCCAGGTAAGGTGCTAAAACAAACAATCATAACTTTGTCAACTCAACTTAGATTTTGTTGATTTTGGGGTGTTTTGACTGAGCTCAAGGAGTTCTTTCGAATGAGCTATTATGTGTATAATCGAATTTTTCACCCAAAATCCCTCTATATTTTTACTTAATATAAAAATTTTAATTATATATTATTTAAAGCTAGGATATTTATAAGATTTCTACATCCAGTGGAGACTTAGTGTTTATTTTTGTATGCCAATAGTTAGCATTGGCAAAAAACTTATTTAACTCTTAAACAATTATTTTAACTCAATAATTTTATTAATCTTTTTTTAGTCAAAATTTTTTTGAGCCTTTATTTTCAATTCAATTTGAAATCTTCAATTTTTGTCGATATAAAATTGACTTGCAAAAATAAACTTAAATCAAAAAACGAAAAGTAAAACATTCCATTAAATTTTGCTTTGTCTAAAATAAATAATCAAGATGTGAAACCTAAGATTTAACTTAAAAAAATCTGATTTTTGAGCTTTTTGAATGACATACTTTTGTCCAAATCGGTTCAGAAACAAAAAAAACCACGATAAGATAAATTCAGCCGTTTAATTAGATTATGAAAATGGGAGTCTTTCTTTAAAGCTCATTAGAGTAAGATTGGATAATATAAAATATTATAAATAAAGCTTATCTAAAGATTAAATTTTATAAAAAATTACTTTTATTGCTAATTCGATTTTTATTTTTTGGGAGCCGACATAGTTTGACAGGCTATTAATAAAGATATGAAATTTTGACAAAAATTTAAGAAAAATTAAGAACGCTTACACTTTTTGGGACTCCCCCTCCCAGTAAAATGTACCTCGCCCCTAATTTATTCAAAATCGAATCTCATTTTACGCACATCCGCAGGTTATACAAATGCAATATTTTTAGGCGGTTTTTATTTTTGTCGAGTATATAAGTACACAATATTAAATTTTTGAATTTAATTATCATTTCACTCTTGGGTTATTTTGTAATGTATAGTATTGCTGCTTTTTTATGAGTTGATATTTTTGGATGTTGGGTATTACCTGACAAACAATCAAAACGGGATGTGTTCAGAATTGCTAGTGTATTTAACAGTAGGGGTTGACCCCGAATCCTGAGGGACCCCGAATCCCCGCGCGAAGCGCGGGGATTTTGTTGTGTTGTCGTGATTTTGTTGTCATTCGACTCATCTCATCGAGCTCTTTCGAATGACATATAGTTTGTCCATGTTTATGACCATTTTTAAACATTTTTAAGTGCGGCCCCATAACCGTAAAGTACCGATCATTAAAGTAAAATTGTATAATATAAAATAACAAAAATAAAGATTATCTTAAGATTAAATTTTATAAAAAATCTACTTTTTTTGGTATTGCGATTTTCATTTTTTGGGAGCCGACATTGTTTGTCAGGCTATTATTAAAAATTTGAAATTTTGACAAAAATTTAAGAAAAATTAAGAAACGCTTACACATTTTTTGGGAATCCCCAACCGAGGAAAATGTGTAATCGAATTTCATTAACTTAACGATAAAATGAGCTGTAGTCTGCAATTCTACAAAATATGCAAAATTTCAAATAAATTGCTTAAAATAAATAGGTAAATTGATTCGAACGGTGTGATTATAACATTTAAGTGTCATTTTATTTTTTGCAAGCTGCGAGCAAGTCAGCTAAAATACTATTTTGAAAAAAATTAATTCTCAAAAATCAAATTTGGGACATTCCCCAAAATCAAAAAAATAAAATTTAATTTTAAATTAAATTTACAAATAAAATTTAGAAAATAATTTAAATAATTATTTAAATACCGGAGACAATAAATAATTTTAAGTAGGGGATTTTTAAAATAAATTGCGGTAAACTAGCTTTTAAATTAAATAAACTATAAAATACACGTTACTAAAAATTGTTTAAAAAGCATTCAAAATAAATTAAAATTTAAAAAATAATTAATTTAAAGAAGAGGGAAATGAACACAAAAATTGCAATTAAAAATTCAAAATAAATATTTTAGAACACTCGGTCAATACCCATCAAGAATTTGAGCCATTCATTTGGGATTAACATTCTATGAAACATTTTATATGGAAAAGCAATTTTTATATCAAAAAACCCTTATTTTCCTAGCAACAATTAACGAAAACATCATCCTGAATCAGACACTAATTTTGATTTTTCCTAAACTCAAAGGAAAGATCAAGGCACATTAGGGTTACTTACTTTTTTCGAACATTAATTCTGTTACGACCCCGCTTACGTAGAGGAGCTAACAAAGATATTTATCGCACAAAGAAATACAAAGCAGATGAAGGTAGGTAGGAAGATCTAAAACTGGGAGAGCGAACTAACTATTGGCTATCCTTTTATACTAACACTTCAAGGGCTGACGCCCATACACAACACCTCCCCCCTTGAAAAAAAGGTTCGGCTTCACTTAAAGCCGAAGCTTTACAATATACTCAACACTTTTCAGCCAAACAATACGAACAAAAAATACATACAAAAATTTTGGGGGAATAAGGACAATGGGAACAAAAAATACATACAACATTACAAAAAAATACAACAAGAATATTATAACAATTATATTTATATGTGGCTCATCTACATCTCCATATTATTATCGTCTTCAACTTCTTTCATGTTTGATTTGTTCCCAACGTTGTCCTTCATTTTTGATTTGATCATCTTTGAGCTGTCCACACTGCTGGCACTCGAAGAAGTTACACTACTTTCACTCGACACTTTTTCTTCACTAATATTCATATTTTTGATGTTTTCATTCAGCAACTTCTTTTTATTACTCCACTCATCAAGACGGATCTCTTTATACGACCTGGATACAATACTCTTCAACACTTGCACTTTGATTTTCCAGCCGTTTTCCGTCTTGCGCAATACTTCACCTTTGAGCCACTCAATTTTTCCACTTCGTTTATTTGTATTCTTCACTTTCACTTTTGTCCCGTTCGGAAACGCATTTTTCTGTATCTTGAATGGTGCCTTCTTTTTACTCACTTTTGGTACTTTGGCTTTTGGCTCTGACCTGACACTTCTTTCAATCCAGGCAACCCCAAGATACACACTTCACTATTCACTAGATGAAACTCCATATACACTTCTTTGTCCTTCACTCGCACTTTACTTTTGAACTTTCCTTCAAGTTCCACTTTGTTGTCACCCAGACCAATACCTTTGTAATTCACTTTTTCAACTTTTGGTTGTCCAATACTATTCCACACTTCACTGGTGACAACATTGATCTGCGATGCAGTGTCTACAATCATTTCTACACTAAGTTCTCCAAACTTCACTTTTTGCTTTATCCACTCTTCTTTTTCCACACTTTGCATTGGATCGAAGATGTCCAGAATTGCACAATATGGAGTCCAGAATTGCACATATATATCTTCTGGCCCCAATTTACTCAACAACAATCTCACTTTAGAGGATTCTGGCAGGGTTTTACCCTCCACCTCAAAATAGGACCGATGCCTGCCCAACCATGACTCAAAGGTCATACCACTCGACAAATCAAAAATGAACTCACCAATCATTCCAACTAATTTGCTGTACAATTCTGTGTCGTTCCACTCACTCGGCTTCAAGAGCCTCACTAACATTTTCTCAAAATGCTCTTGCTGAGCCTTCAACAATTTCTCTACTGTTTTTGCATCCATTTTGCACTCACTAAAAATAATTTTTTATCACTACACTGTTACTAAACACTACAATTTCACTAACCTTT